AAACAAAAAAAAATCCTCAAAAGAATCTTTCGGAACCCTGGAAACCAAAAATGAAAAAAACTCCAGGAACTGTTCATTTTATTTTCATTTGTGTTTTCATGTTATTTTCATTTTGAAGGTTTTCCTGCATTTCGGGACCCTGGAAAGCAAAAATGAAAAGGACTCGAGCAACTTTTCATTTTATTTTCATTTGTGTTTTCATTTTGTTTTCATTTTGCAGGTTTTCCTGCATTTCGGGACCCTGCAAAGCAAAAATGAAAAACAACTCGAGGACGTTTTCATTTTATTTTCATTGTGTTTTCATGTTATTGTCATTTTGCCGGTTTTTCTGCATTTCGGGACCCTGGAAAGCAAAATTCAAAAGGACTCGAGGACATTTTCATTTTATTTTCATTTGTGTGTTCATGTTATTTTCATTTTGCAGGTTTTCCTGCATTTCGGGACCCTGGAAAGCAAAAATGAAAAACAATTCGAGGACGTTTTCATTTTATTTTCATTTGTGTTTTCATGTTTTTGTCATTTTGCCGGTTTTCCTGCATTTCGGGACCCTGGAAAGCAAAAATGAAAAAAAAACTCGAGGACATGTTCATGTTTTTTTTCATTTGTGTTTTCATTTTATTGTCATTTTGCCGGTTTTCCTGCATTTCGGGACCCTGGAAAGCAAAAAATAAATAAAAAATAAAATAAAAAAACTCGAGGAACTTGTCATTATATTTTCATTTTGCAGGCGTTCCTCCATTTTGGAACTCACTCTGGCAAGCATATAATGTCCTCGACACATGCGACATATGAAAACCGGAATTAAAATAAAACGAAAACACACATGAAAATAAAATGAACAAATAATAATTTTGGCGTTTAAAGGCTCTCCCCAGCTGGGAGTCTCTTAACACTAACATGTTCTTCCCAACATTTTCCAAGTCCAGGGTGGGTGAACAAAAGCCTGCACCCGTGGGAATGCATGGCACCTACTAATGCTGGAATGAACTGAAGATGTTGTCCAGTATCGATATGAATCCAATCATCAACGGGAGGATTTCAATCGTATGGCATCTACGGTTTTCTGCAAACCGGCTTGTGACCTAAGGGTTGCGCCGCATGTGTGAGCGGTTAACAAATAGGCAGTAATGACAGTAAAGTCACCTACAAAGGTGACTGCTTGTTTGGGAGCGAAACAAAAAGCCTTCGCCACCCAAACCGTCCTATTCAGTGCTGACTGAATGCAATACAGTACTGAACCAGTGCGGAAACCGCAGGAACATCCGAACATAGGTAGGCTTGAACAAATTCTGGGTCCGGAAACATGAGAGGGAGCCCACTGTGACGAGGATGACGGGGTCTGCAGACTTTTTGGGCAGGCAAGCTTCTGACCCTGAAATTGTTTTGAGGTTTGATGGCCCCCCTCCCCCACAATTTGTTTAGGGTGCACGTTGTGAATCAAGATTTACCCCCGCGTTTGGGCAGAACCTCCCACCCTAAAGGTGGCGTTTCGGTGGGGGGGGGAAGAAGAAGATGTAAGCCACATTTTCAGACCTCCCGGAACCTCCCTCCCATTTTCGGTGATTACAGTAAGTCGGGGATGGCGGAACGGCATGTCAGCGGAGTGCAACCTCAAGCGCCCCGTTGGTCCTCCTCGATCCGATCAGCCAACTCCTTGAAAGCCTGGCAAGCGAATCGCGCTGGGTCCCGTTGGCTCTTACATGCTCTTGCCCAGTGACCTTTTGTGTGTTGCTGTTATAATTTGTAAACAGATATATACCCAGCCTCGACCCCAAACAGCAGCAAACAGCAGCTGCGCACACATCAGCTCGTTTCAACCGGACCACAAATTGCCCAAAACCGGAGACCATGTCTGGGCAGCCAAATCAAGCTGAGTCAGGGACAAGGCCTTGCCCCGCAACCAACGGAGTAGCCAGCTGTCGTCAAAAAAATGGTTGATCCTGACTACAATAAGGAAAGAGAACCCACCCCCTCGTGGGGTTGGCACCGAAAACAACCCATTTTAGGGCCCCCTCAAAAAGACACATGCACGTGTTAAAAACTCTGCAAACTCAGATGCCTGAGGCGACCGATTTCCCCTTGATTTCTCTGTCCGACTTCCGCAAAAAGGCCATGCTCAAAGAAAATGCAAGGAGTAAATTGGGCCTGGTTCCCCCCCAATGTTCTCCCAAGCGAGGAATAGCCTGCCAAGCATGTGTCATGGGCACCTCCAACTAGCTTCAAGAATAACCGACCATGTCAGAACGCATCATGAGGTGGACTACCCAAAACCGATGCCCATGCCCAGTGCAAAACCCATACCCTGGTAATAGGACGGCTGAGTAGGTTCTCTGTCAACTGGTCCGAAAGCTGCGACGAAACCCCGAATGAAATGGAAATTACTAGGGATCAACAGGCCAAGTCTGACTTCGGCTTTCAGACCAAGGGGCGTTGAGGGAGTTTGGGTGTTCACAACGCGGGAGAAAAGGGCCCAACACGGTAAGTGGAAAAAGACGCTGAGGTGGATCTATCAAAAGCAGCGATCATAATCTGAAGCTACTCGTCAGAAAATTGGAGGAACACCAAAACGAGCTTCAAACCAAACGGATATTTATCTACTTCGGATGTGGCGCACACTACTTCAAGCTAACCAAATGCCGTACTCACCTAACCCCATGATTTCACTGCTTCATCAAAGTCACCCCAAGTAGTAGGTAAAAGAGACATTTCCGAAGGAACTCTTTTTTTTGATGACCCTGAGAAATAGTTTAACATGAGCCAAGCATGTGCCGAACACCATGTTCCTTCAAACAACCGGGCCGATGTCCGCCTCCGAGTTGCTCAAAGCCGCGGTGGTTTCGTGCTTCATCTCCTGACCAGGCTGCTTGTTGAAATGTCCGGGCTGCTTGTTGAATTGTGACTTGTTTCCCTAGAAGGGCATGGGAGCAGTGGGGCCCGATTCCCATGATCATTTTGTGGTTGCATTTCGGCCCCAAATTCACGATATCTGACATCGGCGATGAGTAGCTTTGCAAGTTGCTGATATGTCCCACCAAAACATTGCATAATTTCAGTTGGACAGCCTTTTTGGGCTGCCATGAAACAGCTCATGGCTGATGGTTGATGCTATACAATTTTGGGAATGAGGACCCTTAGGGTGTTTCTCTTGTTCCCCTTACCCTCCAAAAAAGGGTGGGCCGTGTCACAACAAGTGTCAGAATCACAGCCCAGAAAACACATTGCAATTTCGCGCCTTTAAGAAAGTGCGCCCACATAGGCTTGTGAGCCCCCAACTTGGGCTCAAGTTTTCCCACAAGGTCTACCAAAATCAAATCAAGTTCCAAGCTGTTTGCCATCCTGAGCAAGCCCAGAGTTCATGCGTTTCCTTGGAAACCCGCTGGGTTTTGGCAACTTATCTCTACGAACTCTACGGTTGAATACCTGTTTGCATTAGCTGCTTTGTTTTGTCTGCGATGACCGGACACCACCGGTCATCATTCTTCTACAGACCCGCAAGTTTGCGGTGGTGCTTATTAGGGCTTTATTTGGGGAACAGGAGCATAGGGTGGCTCTGAACCTCAGAACAAAGACCGAACATTGATATTACGTGCTTTTGAGTTGCTTTCTAAGAAACAAATAATTGTATGATGAGCAGGTGGCAGCTTCACAGTGCCGTTGCTCACGTGAGCAAAGATCCCACCGGCCCAATGATAGTTTCTTGTTCAGATGGGTTGCAACGCTTTCGGAACAAAGTAACAGCCCTGCAAAGGCATGCGAGCCTCTCTGAGGCTGACGATGTCTCTGGACAGGGATCGGTGTTCGGTCTCTTTCTCATCCAGCTCCTGCGCAAAACTCGCAATCCAACGACAATACATTTCACCTTTTAATCGAATACGGGGAACAAATCCAAAGCACCTGAAGCCAACATGATCACTCATTCGGAGGGCCCCCCTTCTGATTGACATGGAAGCTGGGATCCTAAACTATGCTCACTTGCCCAAAGGACCTGGAAATAAAAGGTTAACCTTTTGGGGTCATGACTAAAAATAGACGAAACCCAAAAAAACAAAAGGTCAAAAGGTCGGCTTTGGGCAAGTAAGTATGGCATCACATGGTTTCCCTATCTTTCTCCCTGAAACATCACATCACAAAACTAAGCATTACCCACAAAAGGGAATATGGGACACCCTTGTTTTGTCCATGTTATTTACTCGACTATTGCATTGCAATCAAGCATACGGCCGGAGTCGAGTGACCTCGCCCTCCCCAGTTTATCACGAATTCGTGGGCTTTGCTTGTTTTTGCTCTTGTCGAGGTCGTTTGTCAAACTTTTCAAATACCTCTGAGCGTCTGAGGGCGTGCCCCTCGTGGCTGCCAACTACATGACCCATATGAGGGTTGTTCCAAAAATAAAAGAGGACCTTTTGCTGACTCTTTGGTGACTCCGGAAAGCGAACATGAAGGCCGCAGAAATCCCCAGGGCCCCCTTTGACGCTTTGAGTTCGTGGCCTTGGGCATCATGTTTCCAGCCTCGCCCTTCTCCGACAAAGCCCCCAAAGCCCCCAAAGCCGCTTGGGAAAGTGATACCCCACAGCTCACGCCACCGCCTTGACAACCCCTTGGTTTCTGTTGTGAGATCGTCCGGCGTTCCATCCGACAGGAGCCAAACACAGTTCTTAGGCGAGGATTGCTCGAACAAACGGAATTCATGAAGCTCAACTGGGTAGCAACTTGAGGTGGGACCCCCTCGCGGACCTCTGGTTGACATCATTGGCTGTTGCTCAGCCACCATGTCTGTAAGTGAGGGTGTTGCCCAATATCAGTCATAGCCAACTCTTTGTCTGCTCTTGCGGCTCATGCAGCTATCACGCGACATAGTCTCTAGTCGCGACCGCTTGCATGTGGAGTCAGCAGGGAAAAAACACAAACAAACATCGCCACCTGAAGCACATCAGGGGGGAACGCTATATAGTCTGCTTGGAATTTAAGGGAAACAAAATTCTTGCAGGCGTCACTTCTTGCTATTTCAAAGCACACCTGCACAACCATGACCGCTGGAATATTTGTTTAATTTCCCGGCCGTGGAAAAGCATACCGTCAATACAAACTGTGCACTATGCTCCGCGGAAGCTTGCACGCGTTTCCGCGCTCTGCATGTTTGTTCCGCGGAAGAGTTTCCTCGTAGGAGTTTTGATCGATGCTCAGGTGAGCTGGTTACAATTGGCCAAGAAATGTATCTGCCTGAAAGCCATGAAAGGGACACTGAAACTACAAATGGAAGGCCAACCCCCTCCCTCAATATCAGTTGGGTTGGGCATGCCACAGGTATATGACGGATTCTGACACCCACCTGGGAAGGGTGTCTGTGTATTGGGTTGGTGTTAGATTTCCGTGATATTTTTGCGAGATAGTGGGAAAGCACCTGTAATCCAAAGTAACGTTTAAAATTATGTTTGTTTCGGGTCCGCGCGGTTTTCTATGTTTTCCCTTTTAAGTCGGTCCAACTGCTCTGAGTAAAATCATCTTTCAAAAAAATTAAGTCCACCAAACTCCAGGGCCCATAAGGCCCACGTAAAGGAGTCTGTTTCTCCATCCCCCCCCCAAAAAAAAAACAATCAAAACAAAACAAAGTCAAACAACATGATAAGTATCCGCGGGGCCATCTGTCAGCCGGTTCTGACTGCACGGGTCTCCCCCCAACCAAAGTCAACCAAACATCGGGCCATCCATCGAATTCGTGGGTGCGAAAACCCACGCGTCGCCATTGCCCCTTGTGCGTCATACGCCCCGTGGCCGGTCTCCTGGATGAGGTCCACGCAGCGATCCGCCTCATGGCACAGCTGGGCCTTCGCCTCCGAGACTTTCTCCGCCAACCGCTGGTGGGCCTCCCCAGCCGAAACGACGTGCGACTGGCGGCTGGCGACGGGCGCGACTCTTTTTTTGTGTGTTTCGGAGGAGGGTTCGGAAGCCCCTGCCTCAAACTAAGATGGGAACTCCTATGTTAGCTCTCATGGAAAGTCTTGAGGGGTCCTGGGAGCGTCGGTGTTAGTCTGGGGGAAACCCGTACTTGGCTGCTGTAACGACCCCTCGGCGCAAAAGCTTGCAAGTTTGTGGTGTTTGTTTTAGAAATCTCTTGGATTTCCAAAAAAGTTAAATCTAAAGATCCAACCCAACAGCAATCAAACCTTGCGGGTTGAAGCAGTCCCAAAAGGACACTCTTGCCATGTTTGGTGGCAGGGAACCCCACAAGTCTCGGTTGATTTTGACGGGAAAGCACTCCAGTTTGGTCTGGCAAAACTGGCTTTTGCCGCTTGGGCGCCTTCATTAACCGGGGGAAGGGTTGACCGTGCCGTCCTGTTTTACCTTGTTTGCAAGAGACACTTTAAGGGTTGCACCATAGATACCCAGTTGCGGATCCGGTTTCAAGAGAGACTCACACAGAGAGGGTAAATCAAGATATCTAGGTATAGAATCCTGTTAAGCGCTTCCCAGCCCCCCCATCAAACCAACAAACTAAACGGGGTACTTGTCCCTCCTCTCTAACGAGAACGCTTTGTTCGTAGCTCTTTCTCACACCTTCAAACGTGGGGTCGTTTTGCCAAGCACTTCTCCTCCCCATAGATAGTACGCAGTACTTACTGCCAGGTTTAGTGACAGGCTATATTGGTTCTGAAAATGAGAATAGGTTCATTGGACAAGGTCAGTCTTAGGCCCGCTTCCAGGGATGCGTGTATTTGCGTCTGGGGCGAGCCTGTCTGGCCCCTAGGTACCCTGTTACTCAATATTTGCTTATAGCGGAGTCCGCGTTTAGTGCCAATTACAAAGGTGCAGCCACATACGCTTAACAAGCCAATGTTGATGCTTTAGAAACAGGCAGCGATGTACTGGTCTTGAAACGGATCCCTCAACACACTGCGCAGCGCATCAGCACAATGATGTTTCAGACAGAGTGACTTGCGCTACAGATCTGCGCACTACACTCAGGTGTCACAACCGTTTCTTTCGCCTCGAAGCTGTTGTTTGAGGTGGCGGTGACTTGTAAATGGGGACCCTTTGGTGGACATCATTTAAGCAGGCGTTGTCGTGAAAAGTTCATCTGGGTGTGAATTGCACCTGGGGACCCTTTGGTCCATTCCCGGGATTCATGTCCACCACTTTTCAGGTGGTTCCAACTCAGACTTCACAGCCCTCCAAAGGGCTGTAACCGAAGATCGGCTTTAAGGCCATGGCATTCGCCTCGTGGCACAGATACGCCAAACTTGCCCCAAAATCGCCGTCATTGGCTGATCCTTGTAGGAGTCTATGTGCACAGGCATATCTCCAAGAACCCGACACGGATCTTTCGCACAAAACGAATTCCTTCCCTATCTTTCGCAGAGAGATTTCAATCACCAATGATCACTAAATACATAACTCCTTGCAAGGACCTTTTGAACTCCCATGTGCTTCTAGCACTGAAAAATTGAACATTCCCCGGGCATCCAATGGCCATGGGATAAAGGCATTTTTGTTGGGTACAGTTGATTTACATGGAAGCCTCCAAAGCAGAGGTCTGGGTTTACCAGTCACACCCATGTTCCCTTGAAGACCAATTGGGCAGAACTTGAAGAATCAAGCGAGTGGAAGCTCCATTCCGGTTTCATGACCTTTTTCTCCTGGAGTCGTTGTTTATGTAGTGGTGGTCGGCACTTTATGTAGACACAAATACTGACCGTTTTGCTGTCAAAACCAGAGGAAAGTGCAACATCACATTAATTGGAAGCCCGAGTGACAACCGCAAAATCAGCTCCAGCTGGTTTAAACTACACCTTCCATTTCAAAAGTGACGTTGATGACCACCAAACCCCGGTTCAACTAAACGAACCCGAGTAACTCAATAGTAAACATGCAGGGTTTGGTAGGAATAATGCACGAACCGGAAGTACAAAGTCCCAGTTACTAGGTAACCACGGGAAACCACCATCCGCACAAAGGGAAAGCCTACCGATCCTACTGGCAAACTCAACGAAGCAGGCTTTGTTTTGCCTGAAAACCCCAGAACCAAACCATCCGCAGAGCTTCCCAAAACAGGATATGGGATGCCATGGGCTGGAGTGGTTGCCCTTTAGCTCCCTGGAAACAACACCAAAAAGGGCACCATGTTTTTGTTTTACGTATAAAAGAACACGGGGAACGCCCGGCGACGACTCGGGGAAGATTGGCGCCTGCTTAGTGTCGGAGAAGGAGCCCAGGTACCGCTCCAGCTCCCGGTGGAGCTCCCGAGCCTCCGTTCGCCGCCCGAGACGCCGATGGTTCAAAGCCAAAGGAAGCAGAAGCAGTTCAACACATAACACGGGGAAACCACCCCAGGAACTTTCCCAGGTAGAGCACCAACCAAAAGGGGACAAACAACCTGGAGTCTCCTTCTGACCCGAAATAAAAATGGGTCCATGACCCCTGTAATTGGGGTAATGACCCCATTTTTAAAGGGTCATGGAGACTCCAGGAACATATAACCCGGGGAAACCACCCCCCAGTTGCGCCCAGTTGACCGTCGCCAGATTAACTCCGAGACCGAAAAAAAGAAAGTACCCTCCCCACATAAAACCAGCCGGTCCCTTAAACTAGGGAATTCTTTAGGCCCCAAACAGGGTCCCTAAGGAACTAAGGAACACAGGGAAAACGCTAACGCCCCAAGCCCCCCAACTACCCACCCTTTAAAGAGGTAACGTGGATCTCCCGGCGGGGTTGGTTGGGACGGCGACTCAAAGGCAACTCCCCAGTTGGAAGTCACAGGGTGCTCGCAAGCCAAACTCTCCAACCCTCCAGATACTGAAAACAAAAAAAACTCAACCCATTTAGATATCTCCGGGTTGGGTCCCATTGGGCTCCCTATGGTCGATACACTCCCCGAACCGATTTATGGCTGGGAGTGTCCCCTCCTGTTCCCTCCCTTGGGTTTTTCTTGCTCAGCGTTGCAGTCTACGCAAAGGTGGAGCAAGTTGGGACTTTAGACCCCCCTCTCATCAGGAATCAATTTCAAAAGAGGTCTGAAAAGGGGGCCCTGGTGCCCTTTGATGAATGGGATCACCTTGCTGGGTGAAGAACAATCCCAAGCCGCAGCTTTTACTGAGCAGTGTACCATCATTTACAGACCTGCAAAAAAACATCCCTAAAGAAGGAATCCTTCTGCATGTGTCCTTTTTGGGAAAATAGATGGCCCTGATAGTTGATTGAACCACCCGGCAAACCAGGGCCCTCTATTTTTAACCAAGTCAACCAAAAAACGACACTTACGTCCTAACGGGTTCGAGCAACCCGAAGCCGAGAGACCAGTGGCTCGGAGCTTTGACTTGATTCCGAGTGACAAGCCGGTTTCTTCAAAGGGGGCGACGTGCTGAACCCTAGATATGGGCCAAGGTCAAGGGCCTTTTAAGGGATGGGTTCTGGAATCGTGGAGGGTATATACCACTTGTATACAGGCTGTATAAATACAGAAGAGGAAATCGAATTTTCAGGTTTTCTTTCTCAAAGGTTATGTTAGTGTGAGGAAGGGTATGTTGATGTTTTGATCCTGTCAGCGGAAACCACCGAACGAAAAAGTGGCGAGAAGTGACTAGAACCATCTGCAAGTAGTCATCACCCCACTTGGATCCGTGAGTTAGATTTGGTGTGTTTGCCCTTTCCCAGACCATTTTTCGACAGTAGCTGGAGGTAAGGCGTGCGGTTTATATCCCGCTGACACATGCTGCTAAGGGGGAGGGTATCCCAACTTGAACAACACACGTATGGTTCTGCTATGCTCCCCAAACGGTTTCCACCCGGAAACCATACAAATTCTCTGCCAAGGCTCAGCTTCCCTCGAAAAGTGATTTGGATCCTGGTGTTTTGGAGGTGTCCTGGCAGGGCTTCAAATCCAACACAAGGCCCAGGGCACCCAGCCCGAATTTACAACGTAAAGCCCACCAAACGAGTACCCGACTGCGAAGCAGACTGCGCCTCAGCCTGCATGGGCTCGATGATGTTCGGGTCATTCCCCGCGAGCCTGACAGCTCCGTCGAACCATTCAGAACCTCACTGCAAACGTTCCTTGATCGTCCCTCACCACACACGCACACACGCACACATGAATATCCAGGGTGCCTTTATCAGACAGCTAAGCCTCGTTGCTGTTGGCACTTGTTTTGGTTGTTGCTGACTAACCACCAGGCGGGAACCCTGGTTGCTATTGGGTTGGTTATTTAGACTTTAACATTTTGGGAAATCAAGGGTTGCCATGTTTGAACCGGTCAACAGCTCAAGGAACCCCCGAAAGGCGTTCCTCCCGTTTGGGGGTCTGTGTATTTCTCCAAAAGGGCTCCTCTTCAAAAGGGGCGTTGTCAAGAATATGGCCGGTGTCAGCCTTTCAAGGCGACACCTCTGTGGATTTTCACCCGCCGCACCTAGGGGCCTAGGGGTCCCTTGAGTTATCCTCCGGACAAAAGGCAAGGACGGGCTTGAAGATGAAACTTTTGATCCACAAAGTTTTCCTAAGGCACAATCATGTCTCCGCAGGCATTCACCAACTCGCATTGCAGCTGCACCAGTTGCCTAATGGATAAGGCACGATCCGTTTGGCAGGTGGTAACTTTGAATTTCACCTGAACGGAAAATCTAAAATCAGCGAGTCACTTCGGAAATCAGCCTCCAGCAGAAAGGGAGCGGCTATTTTCCAGAGAGGCAGTGTGGATCGGATGGACCAAATGCCAGGCTTGGATGAAATTTAACTGGACACATTTTGCTCATCGTAGTTCTGTGGGGTTTCCCAACACATCTCAGCTCCACATGTGTCAACATGTTGGGTTGCCGGGGGGGGGGGGGGGGTTGCCCGGGCCGAATGACGCACTCTTGGACATGGGTTGCGAGTTGCGCAAGCCCTATGATGCGAATAGCAGTGAATCGCGGCTTTGGTGGGGTCACAGCAAAGTCTGCACATGTCCAGCATCGCGTATTCGAATCTCAGATTCGAATACGCGGTGCTGGCAGGCGCAGCATTCTCATTTGCGCGAAGCAGGCTCCAGGACTGTGGCTTGATTCTCTTAGTGAGAGACCTTCAGAATGCCACCAACACTTTCATGCAGCTGCCCAGGCCGGGCTGCCTTGTAATAGATGCGAAGCAGACAACTCATGCGCTGCGCTGAGAACTTGCTAGCAGACCTTCCGTTCCTGCTCGGTACCAAGAGCGCAGCTGAGACAAAGACCAGCATACGGGAAGGCAGCTCTTTCAAACGCAAGAAGACCCCGAGCCCTCTTAAACACCAGGTGTGTAAAACCACCTGCGGCAAAGTGGCAGCGTGTCAGATAAGCAAATGGGACTGCGCAGTCGCGTAGAGCGCGCAGATAGCGGAGAAGTCAAATGGCGTGTGGGGCTGGGGGGTCGAGATCGACTAGCTTGAAACACAGGTTGGCCTCGACACGCTGGAAACATGTCCCCGTGTTCGTTGCATCGGTCCCGCCCCCCCGTTCCCTCCCCCCCCGTCGACAGCCGCGAACACGCTGAGGATCGGCATGCGCGGGGCAGCATGAAAGTCGGGCACCCCCCCCCGTCAATTAAACATGTTGACACCCCCCCTCCCCCCAAAACAAAAGCTGGAACTAGGACCCCAGCCAAAAAATATCTTGTTTGCCTGGTTAGTGGAAAACAAAGGGACCCCAAAAAAACAGAAAAACAATATAAAAAAATGGGGAGCTGATTCTGAGGAAGTTTCACGGGCCTCACGAAAACGGGCCGGTGCTCAGCTTCCGGCTGCACTGTGCTGAAGCGCCGCGCGTTGCTGAGGCGCCTTACGAGCTCCTCGGATGCCGCAGTTCACAGGCGCTTTTTTCATCCGGAGCAGCGTCTGCCACAAGTTGAACATCGGATTTGTTCAAGGTCCTCCAGTAGGAGGTTAGAACAAGGGCACCCTTTTTTCTGTAGTCTGTCTTAGTCGGGGAACCCTCCCCCAAAAAAGGGCAAACGGGCACTACTGGGGGACCTAGTGTTGGTCCATCCATTGTTGCTGTGAGTGTTTCATATTTGTTCCTTTCCAGTCTGCATCCCTTGGTCCTTCCAAAAAGGAACATCGTTTTTTGCAAGGGTGTCTGCAATTTGGTGGGAGCAGCCAAACCTAGGATGCAAATAGCAAACGGTGCATTTGCATGAATTATATCTGTCCACCAGCCGGAAAGCAAAATTCCCTATGTCCAAATGAGTTGATATTGTGAGGACAGGCGGCTTGCGCCTGTTTCGCGAGGAAGGCCTTTCACACAAGGAGCTTGCAAAGATGTGGGGACTGAACATGAAATCATATCCAGGGTTTCAAGCCACCATCAAAACAATGGGGGTTGATATACCAACCATGGCTTGCCTAGGAGTTTCATCTAAACAATGGGTCAACCATTCTGTTTAATGGGGGGTTGAACCCTAGGGTGTAAGAGAAACGCAATGTACATTTAGGTTCTTCAAAGTCACACTCTGAAAGACACATTTTGGTCCATGATGGTGTCACCAAAAGGGAAATCAGACCGCAAAAGCAAGGTTAAGACGGCCTCAAACCACACAACAAAACCACACCCAAGACAAATCACGGACATGTTACCTTTGGGGGCCCAACACAAATGATGTCCTACTACTTCTTCTGGGAAGAAAAGCCGCTTATGTTATCGGCCCACCAGCTGTCCCTCCTGGCATCTTGATTCGAGTCGCCGTGCCAGGACAGTGGATAGCCACAGCGGGAAACTAGAAGTGCCGCTAGAATTCACATGATGTTCCCTGGCTACCTGTACGAGTACCTGGATCTACAAAACAATACAAAACATGTTCATTGCTCAACGTTTTGCCATTCAGCTAGTATGACTGGTCCACTTTCGCATGTAACGCGATTTTCGCAATAAATCTGTTAAGTGACGAGACCGGATTACATACTGTGGACGGACAGAACCCACTTCGCACCAGTTGTATGAAAGCCTACTAGTTGGACAACTCATCAGCTACACGTATCTGGTGCCCTGGATTTTGCCCATGCACAGTGCAACAACCTGTTAGGGAATCCCGTCGGTCTCCTTCACACCAAATTCAAGGAGAGACTTGATCGAACTACTCAAGATCCGCCTTGGCTTCTTTTTTTGGAAAACCCCAGTGTTTGCCCCATCCATGACTAGTCTGGTGCTTCGGAGAGAATTAAGGCCAAATCAGCGTCTTTTCTGAGGGTACTCCATTTTGGTGGTTTCAAAGAAGCCAAGGGGAAAACCACCTTTTTTGGGGGGATCCCAAATTAAGTCGTGCTCAACAAGTGAGTGTGTAATCATTTTACAATTTGTCCAAGAGCAACATCCCCGGCACCTTCCTGGGACCCTCCCAGAACTTCTCTGGAACCTCATATTTTCCTGGGGAAACGAGAAACTCCCTACACTTAGCAGGGTTGCTCAAAAGGAGGATCTCTAATCCTAATCCATATTACACCACTGCAACAGAAATCACGCAATCCACCTGGCTTTTCTGGATGCGGATTGATGTTGAACCCAGCCTGATGGTCTGGGTAAGCTTCGAGGCCGCTGAAGGGTGGCAAACGCCAAGGGTTCCGAAGGTCTACAGATCGGATAAAGCTCATAAATAAAAGAACCAAACCACAGTGTCTTCAACATAGGAGGGGAAATAGTAGATGATTAAACCACCAGGTAAACCAGTGCCATCTATTTTTCGACCAACACAACCAAAAAGAACACCTATGGTCTTCAAGTGTGTCCACCTTTCCCTCCTGTCCAAACTCAGGGACCAACGGCGCCCAGTTCACATGGCCCAAGTCACGGCCGGGCTGTATGTGGCCGACTTCCGCAATATGCTCATCTCTTGACCAGACTTAGATCCCAGATTAGATCCCTGCCAAAAGCTATTCTGTGCAGCTGGAAACCCGCCGTAATATCATGATTGCCCCATATTGCTCATAACTGATAGCCTTTGACCCGAGAACCTCTATTTTTGCGGTTTCACTGTTCAAGTGGAAACCAGCACAGTTGCTACTTAGCTGCGTAACTTGAAAATGGAGGAACCCCAAAAGGGCAAACTGCTCAGTGAGGTCTGGCCGTGACTCTGGCGCACTCGGGGGCCGGCCAGGGGAGTTTCGTCTGCTTGAATCTCCGTCTTGTCGCTCTTCCCTTGCAGCGCAAAGACAACTGCGCTACCTCACCCCAAAGCGTCTGGTCTAAGCAATGCAACTAAATAAGCGTGTTGTTATGATTTGTTATGTCCATTCATTCTACCATGGAACACGCAGCTTCCACAATGTGACATTAATGGTTATCATCTGTTTCATGAATACTAGTGGTGAGGTGTGGCTTTACTCACCACCCCTGCTGCAATCCGTGCTTAGTATTTTGGCTAATATTGCAGAAACCCCGCCCGACTAAGTTCTAAGGAAACCACTAGCTCAACTCCCACTTTGGAGTCTGGGCTCGGCAAATCTAAATTGCTGCTTAGCTGGAAATCAAAAAAGGCCCTTGAGGAGCCCTCGGGTAAATTTCGATTCAGTCATTCTGGCCCAGAAAAAAGTAGGACACGTAGAATTATTGTGGTGTGGGCGTGCGGCTTTAAAGGCGCAAGTGTACGGAGGAAGCATGCCTCCCTGAATGCCTCCGCGGGTGCGCAAAACACATAGGATGTCTCCGTGGACCTACATAGCCCAAGAAAAGCTCTGCCCACCTGTTCAGGCAACTCACAGACTGAGGGAAATCCCCTTCTGGGGCCATAAATATGGTTGCGCACGATCGGAGAACCGTGATGACAAACAGTTTTGCGAATTGCACTCGTTCAATTAAGCTTCGGGTTGAACAACAACAACAACATATACGAGTTATCTTTGGGGGATCCCGGTTGTTGTCCTTTTAGTTTGCTGGCAAAATCCAGAAACATGGGGTCCCTCAAAAAAGACGCACCCAAATACTGGAACCCGGAATAGTTCAACCCAGGATGGCTAGCGCAAGATGCTCGAACCCAAATTCCGGATTCCCACAGTGAAGGACTGCCTCAATGGGACACCGGCCCCCAAAGGGTCTAGCAGGGTGAAGGTCCATCCGTTCCCGTTGCTCCAACAAATCATCAACCCCCAGCAACCAGGTCCCAACCACCTGCTTTGTGGGCAGTACTTGGGATTCTGGACTTGGAAAAGCAGTTAGTTGGGGAGTGTTGGCAGGCATCAAAGAGGAGTCTTGCAGGATCGGACCCTTTCTGGAATCGTTGTCTTGCTTAAAACGTCCCCTTGCCGGCCGCGGCAGTTTCCTCTCAAAACCAAGTTTTGTGTGCAAGGTGGTCCTTTTGTTGCCTTCGTTGAGATAGGTTTGCCAATTCCTGTCCGTCTGAGCTTGCGACCTGTAGTGTCCATGAGCTGCCTTGGTTGGGCACAAAAGAACCAACTCAGGGAAACCAAACAGGTCAAACGGTCGGCTTTGTCTTTTGCGCGGACCTCCAGTTGTTTTTTCCGCAGGGACAAAGGACTGCCCTTTGCTTGACTTTGACTCGGGACCTCGCCCGGAAAGGAAAGGAAGATGGGCTGAGGGCAGCACTTTTTTGGCTCGGGTCTTTTCAGGTGTTTCTCAAAAATATGTCCAGTAGTGATAGGTTTCCTTTGCAACCTGTGTTCTTAAGCTCATATTCTTAAGCAAATGGTATTTCATGTGAAAACCAAAGGACTACTTCTCAGGTCAGTCAGAATCAAAACAGATCGGTACACACATGGACCCAGAACCATGCAAGGAATTGAAAAGTCGGACTTCCGCACCTAGTTCCGGGGACTGCACCTTACTAACCTTCGAGTTTTGATTGTGACTCAGGTGGCTTTTCAGAGGGGAAAACAAAAGGACTACCATGTTTGGAAGTTCTCCTATTTGGCGGACACTTTCACACTTTCGCCAGAAGTCGACAACTCCAAATTAACAAAAAAAACTATTGTGCGCGACCCGCCTTCCGCGGGAGAATTGAAGGACTACCTTTCACCAGCCCAAACAAGCGGGTTTCCCAGAAAAGCGGGGCTCCTTTACCAACTAAGTGATCCAACAGGGAAAGAACTTCACTGAGACATGTTACCCTCGGATCGAGCAGGTACGTGTCCGACGCCATATTTCCTATTTCTTTCTGGCCTCAGGGACATGAGAGAACCGGGGCAAGGGGGTTATAGGCATTGAAAGCTGATCATTCTGGCCGATCGTCTGCACATTGGTCAATAATCTCACTTACGATCGAGTCGAATGGCCAATGAACAGGTCGAAATTTGTTTGGCCACTCCCAAAAGTATTAAGTTCTGGCACTCATGGAGTGAGTCATTCCAACTCCTGAAACAACGAATCCAATTAAAGGACCTTCGTGAGCTGGTTTTACCAGGTAAGGTCCCCAGAAAATTGGACGGTCATTGCTCCCTAGCCTGAAATCCAGCAGAGGTCAGCAATCATGAGGGTGCAGCAGTGCCCAAAGACCTGGACATATATTGGGAAATGACCAGACATTGAAAACCCAAAGAGTTGCCATGGCCATGCAGTAGACAAAGGGGTTCCAAGAGGAAAATAGCTGCCCTGCTGGGTTGGGGGAGGGTAACAACAACAGTTCGACTTTTTTGGATACGCACATCTGCGCTAAAACGAGCAAATGGCTCTGATAAACCCCCATTTGCTTAAGTCCTGGAACCAAATCCAGTAATAATTGATTCCCTTAAGAAAAACAAACACAGGGGAGAAGAAAACAACACTTCAGCACATGGCTTTTCAATTCACGGACACCCACCAAAGACCACTCTGAAGCTTATTCCACTTCTACCTTTGGAGGGCTCTGAGCTCCTGCGAACACCGTCCTCCAGAGCCCGGAAAACATAAGGTGCACACAACTGATTACTTCAGCCTGGTGAGCCCAATTCCTGGTTTTTTGTGGGCAAACCATGGGAAGCACCCTTTGCACAAATCCAAGTTGCCCAAAAGACCCAGAAATAAAAGGTTAACTGTTTGGCACCTTGACTAAGCTGGACCAAACTGGGCAAACCAAAAGTTCAGATCCGGTCGATTCGCTTACCGAGCAGGACAATGGTGAATAAGCGTGCAGGGGCAACCGGGCAACCGGGAGTGCTGAAGACTACTTTTCTTTTGGAGGACCTTTCTGTCCTCTGGGCACAGGGAAGTGACCTCTGGTTTTCTGTTTGACCTTGTGGCCATTTTGGCCCGCGGGATTTGTTTTCTTCAGGGTCCAACCGTTTGACCTCGAACTTGCATTTCACAAAAGAAGTTGGTCGGAAAGGGAACCTGACAGGACTCAATCAAAGTGTTCTGCCCTTTTGATTTGGCCATTCTTTGGAGCTCCGACGTGGTCTACTTCAAAATGTAAGATCAAGCGTATCCACCCGTAAGATGCCTTGAACACCGGCATACTGCCATCTAAAGCTTGCAAGTGGCCATGTTGCTCCAAGAGCTAAAGTTATCAAATGTTCTATGCACGGTGCCCCACAATCCATTTTCTGATTGAAACAAACATGTTGTCTGTGTGTATGCTCATCTTTTTCGGAAACACCTAACTCCCCCCCAAAAAAAAACAAAAAAAAAGAGATAATCATCGGATTCTAAACCAATACCAAATCAGCGATTCTGACAACCGACCCAAACTCCAGTCGTATTAGGGGACCCAGTCTCAGTTGGCCTCTCTCTCTCTCTCTCTTCTCGCTGTCTCTTTCTTTCTCACTTCTCTAGGCAGATTCCTTCAATTAGTATCCAACAAACAAGTGCTCAAACATTTACGAGCACATGACAATGTCTTAGTTCTTCAATACAAAAACGCATCCTAGAGCACTTGGTGAACCCCTGCACAGGCAAGGTGCACGGTTCTGAACATAGACCACTGAAAACAAACCAGGAACTTGTTTTTCTAGAGTGGGCTTCTGTTTTCTCCGGGGGCCAGGGATTGCCTCTGAGCAGTTCGTGCACCCAACAAATCGAAGATATTTCAGCTTGCCAAGTACCCCCTGCCCGCCAAGTGGGTGGGTTTTCCTTTTGGTTTCCCTTTAAAACCTACCAAGAAAGGGGACCCTGAAAAGCGACTGACCCTTGCATGTCTTTGCCCATTTGACGTGGACACGCCGAAAGGGAGGGGTGTACTGCAAATGCCCAGAGGGTCCGTAACCACGATAGAAGGCACCCGCTAGCAGATGTGCCCATCCTGAACAATCTGTCGAAACCATCTTGTGTTTTGGTATTGAGTCAGCAGTTGTCTAGCAGACCAGATTTGGGATGACCCCATGCAAACCAATTCAAAACCAAACCCTTATTTTCAGGAGTAATTACCCTTTTTCGGGGCTTTTGAAGGGAAACCGTCCATTTCGTACCCCCGTCTAGAGTTAACCTATATGTCTTCAAGCGCGGCCGCCAAGTCCACATTCTGGAAGCCAACAGGTCGGTTGAACTAGTGTCCTGAGGGACTGCCACCCTGCGGGTGTTGTTGTCATTGGCCATGTCACTGGCACGGCGAAATCAACATTCTGCCAACTTTGTTTGCTGTCTCGCAGCCTAGCCCTGACGCAATGGCGTGCTACGTGGTCCACGGGTAATTCATGCGCCCGTTGTTCGGGGTGCCCGTCGTGTTGGTGTGCGCATAAAATCACCGGAGCGATCGATATGGTGCCGTCGCGAGAAGAACACCATGCTGGCGTACAGCAGCAGGGCATTAGAAAACAGCCAAGTACATGCTGAGGGCGAAGCTCGGCCGACGGTGGGAAAATGGGAAAAGTCCTCCATGTTGTATTCCGCGGTGATTCATCTGATTTCAACCTTCGCATTTTGGGAGACAAAGATCAGCTCCTGCATGGTGAGAATCACTCAAACAGCAATATGCAAGAACCACCCTTGAAACTTACATTTGGTCTGCGGCGTGGTGACCACCACAGGAAACCAATGTGCTTCCCTCTGGTCATGCTTTCTGCTGCTCAACACTGAGTGTTGCCCAATCCCAAATCCCTCTTGCGAAACCACCTACACAGGGACTTCCGCAACCCAGGGAAAGGATTGCCGGGTCCAGCCGGGGGAACCAACGCTTCCATTTGCTTACGCCCCCCTGGAAAACATTTAAAAAAAAAAAAAAACTTCCAGTAGTGATAGATTCCCTTTAAAACCAACAGGGGAAAATAAACCTAGGTCCTCCACTAGAGAGGTTAGAGTAAGGGCACCCTTTTTTTCGGTAGTCTAATTTGGAAGGGGGGACCCTCCCCCCAAAAAGGGTGAAAGGGCACTACTGGGGGACCTAGAAACAATATTCCTAAATCTTCAACAAATGGAACCAAAGGACACCAAGCCATTTTCTACGGGTCGGCTGTCAAAGGACCACACGCCGGAAGCCAAGGCGCTGGATGGTCTTGGCCAAGTCTGCCTGGCGCGGGGCGCAAGGCAATGGGGATACACTCACGTGGCTTGTGTCCTTGTTGAGGGTACGGTGACCTGGTTGGGAAAGCACAAGACTCCAACCCCAAAATCGTTGGTGACCTTGTTGGGTTTTGCTTCAAAGGGAAAGCAGAAGAATCCAACCCCCAAATGGTTGGTAGCCTTGTTGGTTTGCTTCAAAGGAAAAGCAGAAGAATCCAACCCCCAAATGGTTGGTAACCTTGTTGGGTTGCTTCAAAGGAAAAGCAGAAGAATCCAACCCGGTAGCCTTGTTGGGTTGCTTCAAAGGGTAAGCAGAAGAATCCAACCCCCAAATGGTTGGTAACCTTTTTGGGTTGCTTCAAAGGGAAAGCAGAAGAATCCACCCCCCAAATGGTTGGTAGCCTTGTTGGGTTGCTTCAATGGGACAGCAAAAAAGCGACATGTTGGGGGTTCCCCCTGTGTTGAGACAAACATGGTGTGGTCCAGAAGGGGCCTGTATATTTCCAGCTTTGTAGGTGGGAGAATACCCTGCCAAGGGCAACCCTGCCAAGGGCAACCCTGCCAAGGGACTCACTCCCTGAGGTTTGCTCCCATTCGACATTGGCAGGATAGAATTTCCTTGGAGTGCCTTGGAAGAAGCCAAGGGAAACTAAATGATGCTCCACCTGGTTCATATTTTGCAGCCTCTTCAACCCCAAATTGGCGCTTGCCCGGTTTGGCTGTTGAAACATGTGTTGAACTACCTGTAGGTTGGCAAACTTCCTGTTCATCTCATAGTTCCCCTTCAAGCATGAACCGACCAAAGGACTCTAATCGGCTGGCTCTCATATTGGAGTCACGCCTTTGTCGCATATTGGAGTGATTTGCTTGGGCTGGGTGAACTCCCTTGCAAGTAGATCAACCACAAAAACCATTGTGAAGCTGACAAGCTGACAAGCTTTCCCCCTGTTCTCTAGGCATTTCCAGGTTCTTTGGAGCGACTCCCTTACCAGAAGCGGTTCCAAAGATCAACCCGTTTCCACGGACTCTGCCCGCATGGGTTTTCTTCATTCACGCGATCACATCATAGATAGAGGATAAAAAACAAATGATAAAACGGCAAACACACATTTTTCTGAAAATGGAGAAACACACACGGCAAATAGACCAATCATTTAATAACTAACTTGATCAGTTGCAGTAGGTGGCAATACACAAATCAATCAACAACCACACGCGCACACACACACACACATGCATAAAATCGCAAGCAACTAACTAAAAAAAAAATCAGCATCAAGAGCTAACAAAAGTAAATAATACAAACAGTAAACAAGTAAACATAGTCATTATGAATCAACAACTTATTATAATCATCAGTAAATATGAACACCATAGCCGAATTATGTATTCTACTTAATAACACCAAATAAATGAAATTAACTAAACAAAGGAACACCGTGAATAATGCATAAAATAATGCACACAGTCATGCATCATTACGCATCATTAATGCGTATACAACAACACGTTCTGAACAACCACTACATGAATACAACGACAACTACTGCTAAGTATATCACTAACTAGATTTTACATACACACTAAATCATACATATGTAACTAGGTACACAACAGATACACACAGACACACCAACTAAACACAAACACAAACAGACACATCGCACAAACATGAAGACACGCACATATGTAAATTGGTAGGTTAATGAATACCACAACATGCACTTCAACACTCACACATAATAGAACAAACAAACACATTGACTACGACGCCCATCCATGTGCGTTCTGCAGCTTCCCAAGTTTTGAACGGGGCATCGCCCAGGCGAGGTGGCTCGCGCCCGCAAACACAAAGTCATAAAATCTGCTGGATCTGGCAGTGGGTCAAAAATGGTTACCCAAAATGGAACCCTGATGAATGGAACTCAGGACGACAACCTGCGTTCCCCTGGTGCTTTAACCCATACCCATCTTTGACCCCTGCAACAAGTCAAACCCGTTGTTGGTTACTGAGAAGCATTTCTTTTTCAACAACTCCCTCGCACGGCAAGCCACTTTGGATTTGGTAAGCATGCAGAGTTACGAATGCGGAGCAAACCAAAAGGTCTACTAAAGAGTGAGTTGCCCTTCCCGGGGGGCCCATGTTCCGCAGTCCATGGGCAATAAAGATCAAGCTACGCACTCACCAGAAGGACCTAGAAATCAACGCTTCACCTTGAGCCTTGGACCTGCCAAAAAGGAAGGCAACAGTGAACAGTTCGATTCGATTTCAACTGAGAAAAGGAGCCAAGAAACCCGGCTGGGTCTGGGGTCTTGAGAACAGAAACAAGGCCGGTTTGGTGAGAAGTCCTCTTGAAAAAAAACTAGGCGTCGTTTTGACCAAACGCCGTTTTCCACAAGCCAGTGGACCAAAGGCACAAAGAGCCGGTGTTGCCTTTCGCTCCCAGTTTTCGGGTTTCAGAAAACCAAATCACGGCCTGTCTGGAACCAGAGGAACAGAGGAACCATGCCGGCCTGCTGTTGCTGATCCAAGCCCACGATGAACTGGATGGCCTGCTCCTTGCCTGTGGCCTCGAGACTCGGCGGCTGGAAAGCGGGCACGGTGCCGACGGTGCATGCCATAAATGAGAGGAAACAGACCATAGACACTGCAGGAACTAAACCAGCCACACACCACGGTAGATTATCAACAAGCAAGCAGTCCATGCACACAAAATGGAACATGCGTTTCCAACAGGCTCCCTGAGTTGCTATCTGTGTCAAATTAGCCTAGCCACCTTGGCCGGTGGCGATTTTGGAACACAAATGGGCACTAGTTCAATGGGAGAGGGGACTGCTCCTCCAAACACAATGAAACCAAGAAACCAGGCGACTCTGAGGCATGGCGGCATTGCTCACTTCGGATGCAAAGAATAACACTTACTCCCGACAAAGAGGCTTGTCAAAAGGAAATGCTTCTGGAAGCCATGGATGTTGTTTAATGCTTTACTGGGGAGCGTATTGTAGACCTTGTACTGTATTGAAGACTCCAGCGGCTCCGTGAGCACGAGGGCAGCGCGTACTTGGTGTTGGAAAGCCAAAACGGTAATTCAGTCTGGCATTCTTCCCTCGAATGCAAGGCACAAGCACCAGCAAGACCCAAGATTTGGGAAGGTTCTGAACAAGTAACAGCGACTCAATTAACGCATGGCCTTCACAGGGAAGACCCCCCGCCAACGCAGTTTATGTGAGTTGCCTCGCTACCTGTAGGGGTTGGCCTGTTTTCGTGCAGTGAGGGTTCGCACCCCTCGAAGGTCGTAGGGGGCGGCCAGGGGCCTGCAATTTGGAACTTCCGAAGGATCCCAGGAGATTCCTTTGGTCAGCGCCTTCGTTCGAGACTCTTTTGGTATTTATCGGACTTCCTTGCCCGGGTCGGATTGTGCATACGCGGGGGTGAGGCAACTTCGCTGGAAAATGCCATGGCACAGACACAACATGACACAATATGGTGTCAATTGGGAGAAACTCCCACAACCTGGGTGATTGGTTTTGGCAATGCTGATTTCGGATGCAAGGAAGACCGAAGAACCCTCCGGATTGCTGGGATAGGAAACCGGGACTCACACCCAGTTGCTGAAAATGAAACCCCAAGATTGCTGAAAGCTGGTTCTCCCTAGGCCCTCGGGTGTCAGGAGTGTCGACCCCTCTTACTTTTTAGGCCGGAAATGAGAGAGGGGTCTCTGCGCCAACATTTGAGGACGAATAGACCAAGTTCGCCAACACTCATATATTTCTCAGTGAGGGCGCGAATTTGAATTGGGCATCCTGAGAATTCGCCGATTTCCTCCCCAGTGCCCACTGAAATCCTTTTGCCTGCTTTCTCCGTGAGCTTTCCAAGCTCGGGCCCGAGCTTGTAAACCTGAGGTCGCTACTGCTTTCTGCAACCAGGTCTACTTTCCTCACAGCTTTAAACAAGTGGCAGTGGCTCAAAATTAAAGAGCTAGGGTTACGCAGGTGCAGGTTTTGGTCCATGTTTCCCAGGGCAAGCCATTTTGGTACCGGTCTTTTGTGCCATACCCAAGTCGACAGCAATCCCTGTCAAATGGTTGGGGGCCCGGTGACCCCCGTTGCCTCGTGACCCGCCCTGCCAGCTCGCGCCTCCACCGCGGTCACCAGGATCGCGGCGGTGAGGCTCCGGGCCTCCGCGAGTTGCGTCAGGCGCGGGTTTTTTGCGGATCCGCCTTTGGGGGCAAGGGACACCACAGTGAAATCACCAGTTTTGGGCCCTTAAGTTGGGGGGGGGCCAAGGGAAACCACAAGAACAACCCAGCCATTTTGTGGATCCCCCACCTTCGGCGCGCAATGTGTCATCTACACCCTTCTTACCCCAAACGAGACCAAAACGGAACATGCGTGTTTGGCCATGCGCGCCCAGTCGTTCTCCCTTGGGTGTCCTTTTGGTCGCCAACTTGTGTGTCGCCAACCTTTTGGCCGGCCTTCATTTAGCATTATTTATGTGTGCCCTGTTGGTCCGTAGGGTTCCTTACGTTCCCTCAGGGTTCCTGAGATTTGTTCAGATTCAGGGCTCCGGTTGACTCGGAGTTCTTTAGAGTTGCTGGGGTTCCCGCGGGGTTCTTTGGGGTTCTTTTGGCTTCCTTAGGTTCCCTGGGGGTTGGTGTCGATCGATTGGATCGCTCGAGTAGATGTGGGATATGGCAACGAACGCTCGCCAGTTCTGCAGCTGAGACGGCTGCCGCGATTGACTGCTAGCACTGCATTAGCTCCACGCCTCAAGGTTCCTTAGGGTTCCTTAGGGTTGCTTAGGTTTCCGCGGGGTTCCTCAGTACCTTAGAGTTCCTTGGGTTTTGTGGCGGTCCTTAGGGCTCCCGTCTGGGTTCTCCATCCGAGGCAGACCTAACAACCTCAGGTGGTCTCGCAAAAAACCGTCCATTCTCCATGCAGCTTGTGGGCCTCTTTCAGAGGAAAGCTTGTTCCAAGGCCTTGCGTTCCTGGTTTGCTCCCAAAGCCAGATCCCAAACTGGCATCCAATGGGTTTCCCGTAAGTCGCCAGCGCCAGCCCATTTTCATAATGACACTTTCCTTTTGGTTCCGAAGCCTTCAAACTACCCAGAAAGAAAGGTACCCTCACTAAAAACACACACACACACACACGTCTAAACTCCCACTTCCGAGCGAGCTTGGCCAAAACAAGTACCCCAACGTTTTTTCTTACAAATAGTTCTTCGCATCAGGCTTTCAAGTCCAGGAACTCGGCCAATGAAGATCAGCCCATGGAACACGAGGCCATGGGTATGGAGTATCTGCCCATGCGCCTCCACAAGCTCAGAGGAAAGCAGTTGGCCTAGCTAACTGGCCTATGACATGGAAACTGGCAACACACAGATTGAACGACTGGTCAAACCAGAGTAAAGCAGGTCAAACACGACTCAGAAACATGCCAACACAAAAGACAGGCCATGTTTGCATACACAAACAAGATCAAGCAAGCACGCATAGACGAAACAAACCGGGGTCAACAAGGCCCGACCCTGCCGAAGACTACAAAACCCAAGACCGCGCTCTGGGCGCTGCGGCAGCTGCGGGGCCCCCCAGCTCGGCCACGGACAGCTCCACCAGGCCTCGACGTTTTCAGGCGAAAAGTCTGAGGAGCGGTGAACGGCTGGTGCTTGGAAATCACCCAATTTGGGCTCGTTTGCGATTCGTTGGCAAGTGGCTAGTCATCCCCTGCTCGTTGCGGTTGAAGCCCTAAATATTGCCTGCGCGAACCAAACAAAATGCGCAGGACGATATTCCACCAGAAATGCTGCTGCACGACACCTGCGCCCGCTAACCCCTAGATTCCAAGCTGATGTTGCAATGGTTGTGGCCTCGGATATTATGTGTGGGGGACAGGGGTCCACTTGCAGACGACGTTGCGGTGGCAAGGATTTGCGGAGCCATTGCTCGGAACTTGCAACATTTAGGGGGTCCACAGTCGCCAAGTGTGCTTCCAGTTACCGTCGTAGCAGGCAACCGAAGGACACTATCATGTAAAACCTCGAGGTCAGAAACCCTGGTTACCTACTATAGTAATTGGAAGCACTTGTAGTATACCCAATGTGTGCATAAAGGAGCGGAGCTTCCACAAACGTTCCGCACAATCTTCCACGAAATCCGCCGGCTGTGTTTGGTCCTCTTGGCTTGCTGTTGGCCAGTACAGTAAGCGTTGCGCTTCTTGCATGCAGCAACACCTTCCCGCTTCTACAGTGATTATTTCCCCGTGCTCTTACATGCACACAACTGAAACAATTCATATCAAACCACCAAGCTTCCGCAAACCTTCCGCAAAAGAAATCCCTTCTGCGAAGACTTCCGCATGCTTCCGCGCGTGCGGCGCAGTGCACATGCTCAAGAATTATGTCCCTCTTCCTGCCACTTTAGCTTTCTGGCAAACAAAACACGGGTGTATGTGGGTGCGCGTCAAAATGGGGGACCAATCAAAATGAGTTGTATTGTATACCTTTTGGTTCCCCGTCAAACCAGGTCTAAACCATGATTGACAAACATAAGCGGACATGGAAACCCAGAAGATCCCGCCTACTCGCCAGGAATTGAGCATCTGCGCCACTCGCCGCCGCCGCTGTGCCGCCGGCTGGTTCCTGGCTCCTGGCATCTCGTCTTCGGTTCTGGTTCTCCGTATGGAATGCTTGCTGTCCAGGAATCGTCCGTTTGGCTTTCAATTTCAACAACTTGAAGATTCAACCAAGGCTCAGATGCCCAGTGGATTTCCACGGGAAAAAAAGGGGCATCCTGTTTTGGTGGTTGAATTGAAAGGGACTCCCTTCCAAAAAAAAAGTAAAAGAGGGCTCCACTGGGCAACTGGGAGGGTTCTATCGTCTATCGGGTTTTGGGAATGAACCAAGAGTTCTCCAGCATCATGGGGGCTGGGGGGGGGGGGGGGGTAGGGAGCCCCAAAAAGCCAAAAAGGCCTTATTAGGGGCTTTTTCAGGGCTTACTTGAGATCCCTCCCCCTCCCCTCCTTTCCCCCAGCCCCCATGACAGAAGCACATGGCCTGGAGATTACCATTACTCTCCTGACTTCAGGCTGTTACGTTCCTTGAGCGAGCGGAAGCAACTGTCTGAGGGGCAAGTGCAGGAGCCTCCACCCAGTGGCCCATTTTGGACCCAGGGAAAAAGGCTAGCCTTTGTCACAGTGACATGGACCAACGCAGCGAAAAGCCAAAAGGTCAAAAGGTCAAAAGGGCAAGTGAGTCCTTGAACACCAGACACTTTCTAAGGGGTGTCTTTTTGAGGGTACCCCCCTTTTTTGGTTGGCTTTTCAGGCAAACCAACAGAAAAATTGAAACCATTTTGAAGGGTCCACCCAAAAAGGACAGACCCACTACCACAACACGCCCCGGGGCCAACTTTAAGGGACGCAGCGAAGTTCAGCGCCGTGAACGCCATCATCTTCTCGGACTCCAGCCTGAAGGTGTGCAGGCATTTACGCAAAGAACCCATTCCATCTCAGCGTCCAGGTTTCGCAAAAGCTGTGCCACCCGGAGGCGCCTTGCACGGCACCAAAAGCCCGAGCTTCGCGGGCAGAGCGCGAGCGCCCTCGCCTGGGCTCTGCGCATCGTAGAGCACGTGATTGAACTCTGGCTCAAAGTCGAGCGCCCGCAGTCCAAGAAGAGCCCTGAAACACGTGCTTAGGGCGCATAACGTAGACCACACACGGATGCAGCCATGGGAATGCTGGTGGGGTCGACGATTTCACTTTGGGGCTGGTGGGGTGTCGGCCGTGTTAGCCGTATATTTGAACAAGTCTCAAAGGCTGATTGTGCGAACCAGCAATACGCTCTATTCTCTGCTTCTATGAGAAAACTGGGTGGCTCCCTGGAGATTGGGAAATAGGTGGCCCAGCATATCCACATCTCTCTATAAATATACTGTATGCACGAAGTGCTGCATACATATGATAGTGTTCTCCCAAGCTATGCAAAAGAAAAACATCGATTCATGACTAAGCCAGAAAGTAGATATTTATGCCACCAAGTCATACATGGGCTCATACTCTGGATGGAAGATCCCTGGAATGATGATTCCCTCGCAAATACCAACAACATGGTTTCGAAGTGGTGCAGGATTTTGTTCATCCACAGTAGTTTCAAGCATGGACAGTCGGTGGCCGTTGTTTTGACGCCTCTCATTTCTCCTCATAGGTAAGCTTCTGATGGGAACTCTTGTCATGCAGCCTTGGGAGTGTACAAAGGCCTAAACAGTTTGCACGGGGTCCTGGTTACTTGAAAGCCATATTCTCAGTTCCTGCGTGGATTCGCCAAAACAAAGTCGAAACTAAAGTCCATAAGGTCAGGGAGTGAGTATTTAGTCATGACAATCTCAATTGGGAGCCCCGCACCCTAGGTTGCTACACTCGAAACACCGGGGCTACATGTCAAAATTGTTGTGTGTTGTCATTAGAGCATCAAGTGGGTTGTGTCTGCAGGATATAGGGCCCGTCAGTTTTCCATCTCAAGCTTTTCACCTCACCTGAAAAGCATATTCCTTGGCTGCTACTGGCCAGTTGCGCAGTGATCCGGGCAAACTCAAACAAAAGCACGTGCTTCACAAATCCAATGCAACCTCAAACAACGCAGGTATCCCTTGTGGTATTTTGATATTGCCATACCTGGGCTAACATGTGGAAAGCAAAGAACACGTTCTCCCATACTGAACATGTCGGGGCATGCTTGGTGTCAGTCTTGCGCATGTCCATTTTCTGCCGCAACAAAACCGTTGCCTGTCTTTGCAAGGGTACCCACAGTGACTTGGCAAGGCAAGAGTTGTTTCTTTTTGTTGATGGATAAATTCTCGAATTCGACATGAGCCCATGATTTGGAGCCAGGGTAAGTCCCTCCAGCATATCCGGGACGAAAGCTTGGTTGACTTTAAAGAAAAAAACAGGTCTGTGACCTGATAATTGGAGCAAGTCGATATAGCCTCAGCCAACACTCTAGGAGAAACTTCACGAGTTGTTGTTCTTCCGGAGATGCTGGCTTCCAGCCAACCACAAACAGACCCAAGACCATGGGGGCGGCTGCAAAGAAGAATGGTTGCCCTTCTCCCTTGAAACCTCCATACAAATACCCAAAAAGAACATGGTCTGGGTCACTTCAAAAAAATATGGTTGCAAAGAACATCGGTCGGGGAACCAACCATGTCCTTGGTCTGGATCGCCAAGGCCGAAGGCCTTGCACATGACGGAGACCGAGTTGGTATCGACCACCGCCTGGCCACACAGACTCGCGCCGAATATTGTTGACCCAGGAAAAATAAACCCGAAAAAACTGGGGGGGGGGGGGGGGGGTGGGCCCTCCAAGAGTGATGATTCCCCACTGAACTCAGAACACCCCCTATTGATAAACTCGGGTTGATTCATCTTGGGTCATCATTACTCCCCAAGCACACATCTACACACGGCATTTCTCTTACAAATGGCAAACCGGTGTTGGTCTTCGGCCACTTGCGGAAACACACACACATTTGTTGCTGCTTCAGTTAGGTGAAGGTCAAGCCAAAGAGCGACAATAAATAAGGGAAGGCCGCTTGCACAAAGTCATGTCTGCCAGACCTCGGACGCATTTGGCTTAAATTAGCGGAACAACCTGTGTAAGTATTCGCAGGGACAAACTGGCCCCAGACCAAACGCGGCTTAGTGCACAGAAACATACACAAACCCTCCCTTACCAGTTTGGCCACGGAGTATCTCATTAAGAGGGAATCAAGCACCTCTTATGCACGTTGCCATGGAACTCACCAGAGTCTCGGTCCCTTTTTAAAGGAACATGGTCTTCCAGGACCCCGAAACGTCAGGTTCCATGTTAGTGGACGGGAGGGTAACCCAGCAGGTTTATTCATCCGTTGACATTATCAGCGGCGTTGTCATCAAATCAGCTTGTCCTAATTGCTGGTTTGGGGCCCGACGTTAGAGGGCCCAACAACCAAAGCTTTGAGTTCAAACTCAAACTGCAAACCTAATTCACCAAGTTGGCACCCGACAAAAGTGTATTGGAAACAGAACTCTGTCTTCCACACGGGTTCCCTCAGATGCCATGTTTGTGGGAGGGGGCATGGGGGATGCCCCAAATATTGCAAAAAGTGGAACAGGGGGACACTTGCAAGCCAAAAGGTTGACAGCCCCGTAATGGGATGAACTTTTGGTCCGCAAAGTCACCACGTGAAAGGCCCTGCTTGCTTGATTATTTTTCTGCAACAGCTCCAGGCTTTGACCATGCCACATGGAGATACACTGGAATTCTGTACTAATATGGCTGTGGGTCAAAACCAATGGTACCATTTTGGGGTAGGTGCACCACCCATTTTAGTCTATATTAGTGGGAATTGGGATATTCACTGACCGTGGAGATGCACTGGATTCCGTACATACTGTGGATGGTTGCGAAATCCATTTCGCACGACCTAAGAAAGCCTGGAATGATGATTTCCCCGTAAATAGCCTCAAACAATGGTTTCAACCATGGTTTCAAATTGGTGCAGGATTTCGTCCATCCACAGTATTGCAAGTAGCCAGGCCCCCTGCGTTGAAAGACGCCAAAAGGAAACGAGCCACCTGAGGATCCCGGCCCTCATGGTGAGTACACCCTCTCAATCGTCCAAGGCCATGCGATGTAACAGAATCACACTCATGACTTCTGAATTGCCAATGGGCAACTTGTTCGTTGTGCTCATATCTACCCATGGATGCCCCACCTCCTCCATTTACCGTCCGATGTCTTCCCAACGGAACCCCATTGTTGTCTTCCAGATGGGCGAAAAGTCATGTCAAATGCCCCAATGGGGGGAACACCAACAGCATAGCACCCCCATTTGATGATCGATGGGTTCCTCTGTTTTGAGACAAACCCAAATTTAGCTCTGTCACTTCAATTCTATCAGCCTTTGTCGGGGTAGCCGAAACGATGAAACCTTTGGCAGAATTTTCAAAACATGCAAGTGAAACTTGGGAACCCTCAACAAAAACGCGCGGCTTCCTTCTCCATCGGCCAAATCGGTGTTCCTTTCCTCCCAACAAGAATCGGCACTCGGATTCTCCGTTTCTAAGATGCGAGTCGGCCTCCAGGGTGGGCGCCGGCTCTTCAGCGTGACTTTGCAAGCAGGCGTTCGCCCAGGCCTCGACTTTGAACCCGAGGAATCGGAACCCTGCGAAAGAAAAAAAACTCGCGCCAGGCTGCGCAAAGGGAAGCCTTGAAGGAAGACTGTACAAAACACAGGACAGGCAAGATAGGTTGCTTTAAAAAGGACAGGACAAATAAAGGTTGGTGTAACAAGGGCAGCCAACCAGAAGCTATCCTCACGTGTTGCAACAACGTGTTTCGACGTGTTTTGACTAGGTGTTTCCAAACCTGCCTCGTGATACGCACGCCCCGGCCTTGGGGAAAACGTGGCTCACCCGAGTGGAGTTCTATGAAAACCAGCTATAGGAATTTCTGCAGGTAACCTCCGTTTACGTGGATATTTGGCCAATGTCCTGCACTCTGTCCGGCGCACTTGTTCACTTGTGCGGTTCGGTGGCCGGAACTCCATACCAACCACTGCATAAGCGGGTACACCTATGTATACAGTGGGATATAGTCGGTACCTACCCCTCTTCAGTATGTTTCCCTGGCAACATGTGAAGAGCGCGTGGGCATGTCTTAGGATCATATATATATATATGCACCATCGCACAGAGAAACCAATTCCAGCCTTGATCCGTTCTCGACCACAAGCCGGTTTGCCGGAATCGTTTTAGCCCCAGAGTTGCCTCTGCAGACCTCTGCAGGCATTCGCCATGGTCAATTCATCAATGCAACCTTCGGTGACACATCCTCTGCAGACTAGATGCTACTTGATGCCTCGAGGGCTGCAAACACTCAAGAACACTCTTCTACTTCATTTCTTGCTGGCCGGAAAGCAACAGATTGGTCACTCATTCAAGCCTGAGCTTGGCATGCACATTCACTGCCTGTGTGGGGCATCAATCGAGGTATGTAAAAGGAGAAGGTGCGGACGCTCCGAGACTTGAAAGGGGCCAGCCTCCACCCCATCCAAGAACGACCGGCGTTTCTTTCCAGGATTCTCTGGTAACAAGGGCCTTTGCCCCAACAGACCCTTTCTCTGGGGTTTGAGTTGTTTGGGAGCCCCTGATTCGGACGTCAACCCCCATCTGACAGTATATTCATCTGACAGTATATTAATATTTTGCTTGCTGGTTCTTCCGAGGAATGCGCGCAACCCCCATGTCTCTGAGGAAACCAAAGGCCCCACAGCCCGCAAACCTCGAGTCTCAGGCTTCGGAAGGAAGCTCCTTAAGCTCTGATCGACGGGGTGAAATTGCCTTCCAATTCCGATTGAGTGGAAAACGCCCCCAAACTTCCATTCCAGTTCCGATCGAGCGGATCGGAGAAGAAAAAAAAACCGCCCCCAAGCTTCTTTCCTGCTAAAATGGTCTTCCCGAGAAGTGTTAAAGTGTTGAAGTCCTACTCAGAAAGTGAGATGAACCATAAAGGACGTCAGCACCGGATTCTCTAGGTTCACCGGCCAGCAAGGCAGCGTCGCAGGCATCGCCTAAGAGGATTTGTGGTACTCTCACTCTCTGCCTTTGTTTGTCCCATGTGCTTCCACTTTTTTTAAAACATCGCCCCCCCCTCCAACCTGTCCGCACGTGATGTTTAGAGCCACCAAGAGAAATACAAGGCACCCTGACTCCGAACGGTCACAACAAAGGAAAAAGGCAGAAACACCTAAGGGAAAAAATGCTCAGCCTCCTGAAAAGCGTGTGGACACCCCACAAAAGAAAGAAAAGAACAGCGTTTCCCCCAAGTTTCACGGCGATGCTCAAAGAGACAATTCCACAGTCTCTCGTTCTCTCTCTCTCTCTACATCCCCTGCCAGATTTGGCGCACTAACTGTGGGGCGGACAACGCACGTCTCGGCCTTATCAAGTTGGATTCCAACATATTTTGCAGTGACCCACAACTTGACAACAGGTTGACACATGCAGTTGAATGGTTTCGCCTAACTTAGGACTAGAGCTTGTGTTGCATCCTAGCTTTGCCCATCTCCTTTGTGAAGACCCGTTCACGCTTTTACATTGTAGATTGCTTCAATATTCTATCTGCGTGCCTTTGGCAAGATGACACCGATGTGCAAGTGAACCAACCCCGACCAAACACAAGCCCTGATTAACTTGCGGTACATTGCAGCTGGGTGAAAGTGGATTCCACAAATCGCTTATCACTTATTTTGATTGGGCCATTACCTTCCCTGCATAAATGGGCAGGTTTCAACCCGGTGCCTGGTGCATCCACGGTCTATTTAAGACCATGGCGATCCATACACTTCGGATCATGAGGGTATCTCAATTGAATATGAGAGATCCTGAGATCTCCATGAAAAAAACATCATGAGTGAGGGCGAAAAGCAACACCGGCCACAGGTGAAACATCAGTTATTATGCTTTGCTACATATCAATCTATGGATGACAGGGTTGTCCTTAGACATGTCCCCTTTGTGGTAGAAGTTTGGCGTACCTCCGAGACGAATCTCACACTGTAGCGGAGCCCATGCAGAAGCTAGTCTGAAAGGGAACATTTTGACAACATAGATGGGCGCCCACTGGTAGAAGGACCAAGCACATGATACGCTCCCCTGATAGCTTGTGTAACTGGATCAACTGGGCAAACTGAACTAACAAAACCACTGGAGTGGCTCAAACTCAAGGTTCCATTCTTTGCCTATCCCAAGGTTAAACCCAGGAGTGCTTGACTTTCCCAATCCCTGGGTTTAAGTCTACCTTCGGGTAGCCCAACAGTGGAACTGCCTGCGGATCAGGACGACTTGACACAAGTGCCCATCCTTCCCTAGGCATCATTGGACCCTCCATTGAAGGGGTTAGGACCTCCATTGGAAGGTGGTGGTCCTCCAACCCTGGGAGAAGTCTCGCTCCACGCCAGCTGTTCGAGGCGTCTGTGGTGCCCGGCTGGAGCTCATTGGCCATGCTGCTCAGAGTCCATGTGGCCGGCCCACCTGTCGGCCCGGCCAATCAGAGCCCTCGGCCCGACCCCGGGAATCAACTCAGCATAGCATCAGCGTTCCCACGAGTTGGTGGTTTCAATTGGTGGTTTGGAGGTTAGGCGCGTGAATCGTGTTTACCCTCTGCATTGTCTACACCAAGAGTTCAAATCACCAAAACGCCAATCCAAACCGCGAACTTGGCAATTTGGGAAGCTGATAATAGGAGGGAGTGTTGAAGTAAAAGCACTTCCCTCTAAAATGCGACAACCTCAATTGGTCAACTAGGCGATTGCCGAATCCTAGGCTTCCAGTGGGCTCCCCATCATTTGCAATACCAAGCCTTCCTAGGGCACCCCTAAGACTCCCCCGTTGCAACCTGACAAACAGTCTGGACTAGTAGCCTCAAGAGGTCCTCCAAGTGGCTTCCTTGGTCGTTGTCCGAGAAAAGCAACTTTGTTCCAAACAACACGCAGTGGTTGAAGTCCGGCCATCAACTTGTGCAAAGAGTGCAATCTAACCCCCCACCCGTACAAGCTTGCTGAGCTTACACACGGGCAAGCTTGACAAATCAAAATACCCGCCGCCGCTAACCTGTTGCAATCGCTCCCCAAAATCTGTGCAAACCCACCCGCTTGGGCACCCATAAACATTGACGCAGGCTACGCTTTCTTCGAGGGGAGACCTTTTTTGCTTGTTTTACATGGAAGCCACAAGCAACACCACTCGTGTTGGCTCCGGTTTCAGTATTTTGAGACACACCCACTTGCGGAAAACGACCTCGTGATTCCAAAGCAAAGTCCGGATTCCCATCTGTTCAAACGTGTCCATTCTGAAGCTGACGCCCTCATCCCTCGCTACCAGGATTGCTCCCTTCACCCGATTAGCACACGCATCCATGTGGGTGGTGCAAGGCCAAAGAGGTGTCAGGAGAAATCACAGTTGCTCCTCTTGGGTTGTGTTCATCTTTTAGACTCTTAAAGCAACCCTGCTATGAGAAAAGTCTGTTCGGGGTTGAAGCATATGGGTGCCCTTGTTAAGACCCATTGTTTCGTGAGCTCAGTTTAAAAACGAGGTGCCGGGCACAAATGTCCAACTCATTGCCACAGTTGTGGCTGACAGGGAAGGCCATCCCGTTTTGATAACCTTCCAAGGAACCAGACCTGACTAGCCACAACCCCTGCAAGTCAAAGTAACATGTTTCCCCTATGCTGTTGGTACCCCTTTTCACCTTGGTTTCAAGGGAAACCAGAAGTAAAGGCCCACCTTTAATTCTGACACATACTTCTACTTGGATGCCCATCACACTTACCCTCTTCTCAAGCATCGTGGGTTTGTACAGGGCTTTGGAAGACCATCCTTCTTCGAGGGTAGTGAGTAGAACCAGGCCAGTAGAGAGGTTAGAATAAAGGCACCCTTTTGTCTGGAGTCTATTTCAGTAGGGGAGCCCTCCCCAAAAAAAGAAACGGTGAAAGGGCACTACTGGGGGACCTAGGAGTAGAACCGGCAAAGCATCGGGTGCTGGCTGAGCTGGCCTCAGCGCAGCCAAGGTGAGGCCTTTGCCATCTCCGGGCGCCAACTAGCGCCCGAGGGGAGTGCCGGGTTGTGCTTTTTTTTGGGGAGTGGAAGTTTGAGTGGAATGGGGAGTGGAACTTGAAGGATCGGAATTTGGAGAACTTTTTGAGTTGAGTTTGCCGGATGCCTTTGTGAAACTCTTTATCAAATTCACTGTCTCGCGGAATTTGCAAATAAAACGAACAACAACAGCATGTCCCGAACAGTTCAAGTGCCATTTTGCTCGGAAGGAGCAAACAAGCTTCTCCTGGAGCTTGCTTCCGACTTCTAACCGTGCGGCCATGTGGCTGGATCTCACAGTTCCGCCCATTGCACCAGTCACCCAAAGGAAACTCCAACAATTCATTTGGGGGTCTCTCTTTTTGAGAATCAAGCCCCAAAATATAGGTTTTCCTCTTAAAGACTCTTTTTAAATCCACCAAAACGGAAGTACGCCCAGAAAAGACATGTATTTGGCAAACAAAGATGTTTACACCGCGTGTAGGCAAGCAGAGCTCGAAGCCCGAATTGAGGCGGTTTTCCAAAAAGGCGGGAGAAGTTGTCAAGGGTGGCCCAATAGCAAACTTGAGTGGCAGTCAAGAATGACTTCATCTCTCTCTACCTCAAGCCGGCAAGCCACAAATGCGACATATGCAAAGGGCCTGGGAAAAAGGCAAAAACAAACAAGCACACAAGCCCAAACAACTACTTCTAACTTCCTCAGCGTTCTAAACTGTTTGCTTCCGGCATTCTGCCTGCAAACTAACATGGATCCTCAAATGTGCCTCGAGCGGCGATTCCTCTGCAAACATTTTCTGGGTTCCGCGATCGGTTCAGACTTTCGGGTTGCATGGACATTTTGAAACAAGAGCTTTGGGCACTCCCCCATAACGTGGGTGTATTCGTCTGTTTGAGTCCAGGCTGCATCCCCCTTGGGGGGTTGCAACCTTCCTTGGGGGTCTGCAAATGGAAACTGCTCTGAACCACCCTTTTTGGCTACCGCATTGTGAGACCCCATGTCCTGCAAGGCAGAAGCAAGAGCCACGACCGCTTTCAAGATGCTTTCAAGCCCGGCTTTTTGCACCAGCCTCGCGCGTGATTGTGTTGGAGCGACCGAAAAAGACGGGCACGCCTGTGAAATACAGGCTGCATATTTTGGGAGGCAATATGTGAATTGATCCAAAAGCAGGTCATGTTCATCGCTCCAAGAATAGGCATTCTTAGAATGGGATATCAAAGCCTATCACTCACGAGCTTCTATCCATCTCTAACAATCCCAAGTAAGTAGGTATGTTGACCATGGCGCATTTTGGATAGACCGATATTGTTCCCCTGTTCATTATCCACTGTGGGCAAGAGTAAATGGCATCTGGCTGTGAATTTCAAGAGTTGGATACACCAAAAACAAGTGGTTGGAATTCAACCGGCCCAAATTGATGTCCATTTCGGGTCCCTAAAACTCACACCCAAGTTCGCGGAGGAAACTCCTGGCCTTGTGGGGCTCCCCAAATTTCGCGTATCTGAATTCCGGAGGTGAGGGGCTCGGCCCCGCACCTCAAAAACCGTGCGCAGGTGCTTGGCGGAGGCTGGTGAAAACTGCTCATCCAGTACTAAAGGCGTCTACCCACCCCTGGTTGGATGGTTTTCAAGGAAAGCCAACAGGAAACCACCTGGAGGAATTGGTCCCCAACTTGGAGAAACACCCGAGCTTGGGGGGTACTGGGCTTCCAATATTCCAGTACCTTTGGGCGGGGGTTCCAACAAAGCTCAGTGAATCTATTATCAAACTCCGGCACTGATGGACACTGAGTGAAAAGGGGGGGGGTTCAGCCACGCGTATTTTTCTGGCAAGGGTAGCTTTCCCAATCTTCGACTGCATTGGGGCCAAGTGTACTCTTTCTTCGAATGGAAAAACAACTTGACCGTGTCCTCGTGCTGGGGCCGGCTGCCAAAACTGGCACACCTGCCAAAGAACGCAACTACGGGCTTTAGCAACTGTCATTTGGAAATCCAACATTTAGATGGGGTCAGTTTCTCTTGGAAACATTCCCTGGAAAACCAACATTGGAAACCAAGAAACCATGCGCTAAAAAATCACAGACAGGTGTAGCGACCCCTGACGCGTCCGCAGCGATCGAACATCCGTACTGAACTGCTCGCTCTGATTCGGTTGCCGCTCACTTCAGGAGGCGTATGGTTTTGGCCTCCTGCGAAGAGCTGGCAGGGCACGGGGTTTTACATTGGCGGTCGTATGGCTGATATGTGCCCCTATTTGGGGGAAACTGGCTGGTAAAAAACCTAGTACTTTTGGTGATTTTCTTGCTGTTTGCTGTTTTTGGGCTATGATATGTCCAGTTGCAGTTGTGAGCGGGGGAGGGGGGGTGGGGGGGGGGAGGATGTTACCGTCGTTACGAAAGGCTTGCGCGCACACGAACACACATGCCAGTGCACACAGGTTGATGCATGGCCAATGTTGGTTGCAGATGCTGGCAAAAAACGTCTGGAGAGCAAACAATGAGAGCACGCAAACGACCCGCCTTCAGCATAGTGGGGGCTCATACGTATGGATAGAGGGTGGCAATCATTGCAAGTCTATATGTCAACCCAGCTTCACTCTAATGTGTTTCGCTACACGCACAGCTTGTTTGGAGGCATCGGCTTCTGATTGAAAAGGATTTCAGCCGTGATCGTTGGCTGTAGCTTGTCGGCTTAGATTTTCGAGCAATTGAACTGCAACGATGTAAAAAGAAGAAGAAGTTTTTGACCATCTATGCATGAAAATGATGCTGTCCGAATTCTCCCGTTCACTGCCAAACATGAGCCACAGATGACAAATTGCAGAATTGCCAGGGGAAAACACGTGTGATGCAGCTTTCGCCTCCGGGTTTTTTTCACAGCCTGTGACCTATTTGGGGGGGTGCATTGAGGAACCTCTAGTTGGTTTATCCAAATCTAGTGAAAAGCTCTGATTTTGGCGTTTGAGCGCGCAAATCGCGAAGGGTTGCACCCACCAGACTAATCCAAAGGATCCAAGCATGAAAGGCGATCACATGGACTGACACATGACAAAACAAGAAGCCATGTCCAAGTAATGTTGATGCTTTTTTGGGTGGAGGCTCAATGGAATACCGAGGTCGTTCCTGGTTGATTAGAGGAATGGTCACACTAGGATTAATTCAGTGGGGAGAGGGACATTATTATTAAACATGTGTACCGCGACACAGGTGCGGAAGCATGCGGGGCTGCCCGGAAGGGATTTATTTCGCGGAAGGTTTGCGGAAGCTTTGTGGCTGGCATGAGACTCACTGTTTCAGTTTGCGTGCGTGAAAAAGCACTGAGAAACGATTACAGTAGAAGCAGAAAGATGTTGCTCGTTCAAGAAACGCAACGCTTACTAGAAGAGCAAAAAGAAAACCACGACAGCC